TCAGACCTTTTGTGCATTGCTTTTTAAAAATATTTTCGGGGCGCCTCAGTGGCTCAGTTGGTTGAGCATCCGACTTCAGCTCAGGTCATGATCTCGCAGTTAGTGAGTTCGAGCCCCGCGTCGGGCTCTGTCCTGACAGCTCGAAGTCTGGAGCCTCCTTTGGATTCTGTGTCTCCGTCTCTCTGCCCTTCCCCTGCTCACACTCTTTCAGTCTCTCTCTCTCTCTCAAACACGAATAAACTTAAAAAATGTTTAAAAATATTTTCAATAACCCTATGAGGGAAGTATTATAACTATTCCTGTTTTACATGTGGGGAATCTGAGATTGGGTTGAATAACCTGCCCAAGGTCACGTAGGCCAGGGTTTCTCACCTAATAGCTTAACCACGAAGGCCTGATGGCAGTACCTTGTGTCCTCTTCAGAGATACGAATGGCAGATGCTCTTAGTTTGTGCACCAGAAGACAATTTAATGATTAGAAAGGAGAGGAGAATCCTTTAAGAGTTTAACATTATGTCCTGATAGTGGCAGATTAACTAGGAGGATATGTCTCACGTCTATGCATTTAATCATTTAAATCTGTGAATCATTTAAATTCTGAATCATTTAAATCAGTGAAATGAGAGAAAAATGCTTTGGGTTTTCCAATTCTTACCCTTCTCATTTCCAACTACCGGAATGTTTTGTACAAGCAGAGCAAATGGAAGGGTCAACCATTTATGAGACCAGATGGATATCCTCTTCCTCCATTTCATTCCCTCTTTGTTTTGCTACCCTTTTAAAAGTTAGTTAAAAATCTCACCACCTAACTATGGGTTTACTAACTCATGCAATCCATTTTCCATTAAAAAAAAAAAGTATCTTACACTGGAGAAATTGTGACAGTCAATGGACCAAGACCATGAACCATTTTATATTTCTTAGTATGATCCAAACAAACTCTTTGGAGAAACTCTGGCCTCTGGCACAATATTTTCACAGCCATAAGAGTTTAGATTCCTGTGATCTCAGTGGTATTTAACAATAAATCCTGGACTACATGGTTAGCAAAAGCAAAGGGAAAATGGATGTCAAGTCCATTAATCACAGATGAAAAAAATTTTCTGGGTTGGAATGTCAACCAGGCATTAGCTGTGCTTTGCACTATAAAATCTATTCAAATGACCTCCTGATTAGGTCAGCTTGTCCTTTTGCCCTGAGATATTTTAAAAACAGAAACTGGCAGTTAGGGCTATAATCCTCATGATACTTCAGGCTGTACAGAGTAGATATTTGGTCATAAGGACAACCATAAGCAACTCCTCTGTAGCATTTTGCTCGTAGCTGTCAGCTTGACCAAATCGCATACAAAATCGATAGCAAACTGCATGTTCTGTAAAGTAAATATGTCCATTAGATGAGAAGTGTTTCAAGGTAATTCAAAATAGTCTGAAAATACACATTTGTAACTGAAGGATTTATTTAAGATTGATTTTGGGAAAAGTAAAAGTAAGCAAAACGATGTTTACTTCGTACCTCCTAGATAAAAGGAAGCACTAAGAAAAAAAATCTGAATTATACCTATCAACACTGATATGGTAGAGAATCTGATGTTGGCATTTGTGACTGTATTAGGGAGTGATATTAACCGCTAGCCATTTGTAAGTTGCAAATGCCCATTTATAAACTCCTGGTGTAAATGTACAGCTACACAATCAAGTGAGTGCATTTACAACCTGTGAATCACTAAAGACTTGGGAGGCAGCCCCTCGTCCCTGGCAGATGCTATCCACATTCCTCAGCTCTCCTGGTGGCGTTCAGAAACACAGGCTGCTTCTGAAGAAAACGAGAATAACGACTCCAAAAGGCTTAGATTAGAGCAGCTTTGAAATGGAATGCATTTTAAAAATGTGCTTTAGTGCTGCTGTAAAATGATGCTATTGTTGTGTTTGTCATACTTCTGTTAAAAATGAGGCCATTTATACAGCGTTAGGCTCAGTGAGGTAGGAGGGAGAATTGGGAGATGCTGGAATGTTTGATGATATTCTTTTCCTTTCTGGGCATCGGAAATTCCGCAGTTGTCATTCACATTAGCAGAATGTAGAACATTAGCTGAGCAAAGCCAAGATGCCCTCCTGGGGGGAATGAAAGCCACTTTGCCCATCATGTTAACCTCTTGAGTACCACATTGCTAAAGGATTTAGTGTGCATGGAGTTAGGAGTTTGGTGGGAAATATGATTCTACAAAACAAGATGGGTAAATCCAAAGGATAGGAATATCATAATGTTGGGGGACAGTCTCTGTGGTCCAGAAATTCTGGTACTCAGAGGGGCATCCATTTTACTTCCTGCTTTGTATATTCCATTGCAAAAATGAGCTTGCCCACCTCCCCACCATTCCCAACCTTCTCATCCTCCTCCACACTCCTCTACATGCTCTCTTGGAAGAAAACTTCAGGAGACAGAGATCGCCACAGCCAACCTATTCTGATTCGTGCACCCAGTGAATGTAGTTTCACTGTTCACCTTAAGACCCATTTCTTTCAGAAAGTTTTTTTTTAACTCTTAGATTTATCTGATCCATGTCCTTGAACTCTAAGTTTGAAAATGGGTATAGCATGTATGAGTTTATTTGGGGGGGGGGGACAAATGATTTGCTTGTACTTAAAACATCAGGCATCTCCGGTGAACCAAGAGCTTTGTGTGGGGTGCAGCATGAACAAAGTACGATTTCTGCCCTCCAATGTCTTACACTGCAGCATCACAGTTAGCATATTTGTTTGCATATCGATACATACAATTCTTCCTTCCCTTTCCCCCCAAGTTAGCAGAAAGATATATAGAACACTCCATTCTCCAGCCCAAGGATCATACGTAGAAGTATGTAAAAAAAGACATTTTGATTAGGAATTGAGAACAGAAAGTCCTTTCTGCAAAAAATAGCTCATGATTGAACAAAGTCTTATTCTGTTTATCTTAAGAGAAAATTCATATTTAAAGAATCCAGCCTCCTCACCTTATGCATTCTTTCTGCTTTGTTAATTTCCAACTGTTCAGCTCATAGGTATATTCACTGATTTATCAAGTTTTCTTGATTTTTTTGTTGTTCCCCAAATCAAGAACCCCACTGTCTAGTGGAGGAGAAAGGTATCAATGGAAATTAACTAGTTTCTATCAGAGAATTAGGAAACTAACATGGCTTGGTGAGGAAGTGAGCTGTATCTTTTTGGAGGAGATGATATGAATTTTCCAAGTGTAGAAGCAAGGGAAGTGTAACCTAGGCAACAGGAACAGCATATACAAAGACACAGAAGTGAGAACAATCTTCCAAGGTTGGGGAAATGTGGTTTATCAGAGGCTTCTTGAGAATCAGGCTACAATGAGGTAAAATAGGTGGGAAGTAGGTAGGAGTGTGAACTAAAGAGTCTTAAAAGGCAGATAAATGAATCTGGATGGTCCTTTTGGCAAGAGAGAGTTATGGCAGGATTTTGAGCAGGAGCATGGCAGGATCAGTGTAACATTACGAAGATCATTTTATAAAAAGAAAGACATTAAAGCGAAATAAAAAGATGCCATCGTTGTGATGTCTGGCAAGTGATGGATGACCAGCTGTGACTCCATGAGGATAACCCAAAGAAGAGATGCCCAGATCCTAAACAGGACAGTGGTGGTGAGGCTGCTGAAGAGGAAATACATTGGAGAGGCTGTCAGTAAATACACTAAACAGGAAAAGTGGTGACTAATTTGGTATGAGATGAGGTAGAGAGAGAAGACATGAATGACTCTAGATTTATCAGATTACTCAACTGATGGTTGGTGGCAAAAGAAGAAAACAAAACAGACAAAAAAACCCACAACTGTTACAAGGAGCGTCTGGTGGGGACAAGGCAATGAGCTTGGTTTGGGATATGCTGGGTTCTGGCTGTCTGTTGGGATCTGTAAACATCTGCCTAAACTAAACTTGAATGTTTATTTATTTATTATTTTGAGAGAGAGAGAGCATGAGCAGGGGAGGGGCAGAGAGAGAGGAAGAGAGAGAATTCCAAGCAGTCTCCATGCTTAGCACAGAGCCTGACGCAGGGTTTGATCTCACGAACCTTGAGATCATGACTTCAGCTGAAACCAAGAGTCGGACGCTTAACCAACTGAGCCACCCAGGTGCCCCTGACTAAACTTTAAACAGAGAGCCTGTCACCACATGCCAACACACAGTGCCAGTCAGTTCGGAGCTCTCCTGCTTTCTGCATGCTTCTCTGTGGACCGGGTAGCAACATAATGGAGAAGTAGAAGCACCACCTGAAGGAAGAGAGAAGAGGCTGACCACGGCTTCTTTTTGCTTTCAGACTGCACTCTCAGGGAAGAGAGGTGAAAAACCAAAAGTCCAAACTGAGCTTAAAGCATCCAATAGCAGACAATATGAGACAAGTTAATTACCAATATGGCTGAGTTTTTCTATTTCATTAACTTTGGGACTTTTTGTTGGCTAAGCGTAACAAGAGAATAACTGGAAAGTCAACCAATGGCAGGAAAAGAACTGGTGACACAGAGGAAAGTTGAAGGGACAGTGGGTGAAAAAAATAAAGTGCATTGTAATCCCCATCCCCATCAGGAGTCAACACAGAGGAAGAAGAGAAGGTCTGACACTGAAGCTTGAGTAACACCAACATCGAAAGAGCTGGCAGAAAAACAGCCACCTTCGGAGGAGAGATTGCTGGCATATTCCCACTTTGTTATGGATTGAAACCTCATAACAATGGCTTTTATTACCCATCATCTTTTCAGATAAGTAAACTGAAACTTATAGAGGGAAATATTAGCCTTGAGGCCACATCACTAGTAGATGGCAGAGCTAGGACCCAGAGCCTGATGTGATTGATCTCAAAGCCACCGTGCTATCTATTCCCTAAATCTTCAAAATATCACCACTTTAGAATTACAAGGAAAATATAAGGAAAGAACTGAGTGATACTAGAACCAATAACATAATGTTGAACCTTTGAAAGACAGGGATGGTAAGAATGTGATGCTGAGTCACAGTATTGGAAATGAAATTGGCATATGATTCAAGACACTGTAAATCTTCAATACCAAACTGTAAACCCTAATAACAAATATGTCTTCCCTCTGATGTTTCCTACAAGGTAGGCTGACATTCAACTTATTTCAGCCATTGAGGTCAGCTGGAGATCCTGACCAGCGTTAGTGACCTGCTGTCCCTGCTGTGGCCCTGTGTCTGGAGGTGATCCAAGGAGACCCCGTTCATCATTTCTCTCTGCACCTACACCTCATTTGTAGGTTTTTAATTTAATTTAATTTTTTATTTTTATTTTTTTCTATCTGTGACCCATCATTATAGAAAACCGTCATAAAATAATTTCACATTTGGGCTTCAATTATGTACTGAATGAAGATCTTTAGTGATGTATTTATTTAAACAAAACAAAACAAAACAACCCACAAAAAACCAAACTGGTTTTTATGGGTTAATTCACCTATTTGAAAACATGTTTATAAGTGAAGCCCTAAACTGATTTGAGAAGCATAAGCTTCACTTATCATTTTAGTTTTCATGAATAATAATACATAATAAGAATGAGGACAGGAGCGCCTGGGTGGCTCAGTCGGCTGAGCGTCCAACTTCGGCTCAGGTCATGATCTCACGGTTTGTGAGTTCGAGCCCCGCGTCGGGCTCTGTGCTGACAGCTCAGAGCCTAGAGCCTGCTTGGATTCTGTGTCTCGCTCTCTCTCTGCCCCTCCCCTGCTCACACTCTGTCTCTCTCTGTCTCAAAGATGAATAAAACATTAAAAAAACTTATAAAAAAAAAAAAGAATGAGGAGACACTCCTAACTGAAAATGAGCACTAGTGAGCTAGATTATGGTTTGGGAACAGGAGAACCCAGCAAACACTCAGCAGTGGGAGCGAGCCATTGTTAGCGAAGGCTGTCATGCAGTTAGTGGTGATTTTTTTCCCCTTCTTAAAGACTTTCTTTCTGCTTGACCTGGTCTTCATTTACGTTTTAATTTTGGAATTTTTTTTCTGATAGAAACATCATATAGAACAATAAAAATAGGGTTAACTTGTCCTTTTTGAAGGAAGGCAGATTACTGAAGTGAGAGAGCCCAGCCACATCCCCAAACTGCAAAATTTGTACTGTCCAACTAGAAATAAAAGTCTGTGGCATCCTGTTCTCCAGTATTACATGTCCATATTTTCTGCTCTTGCAACCTTGCAATTGTCATCTTATTCCAAAGAGTGCGTTACTGGGGCTCCTGGGTGCCTCAGGCGGTTGAGCGTCCAACTGCTGATTTTGGCTCACGTCATAGTCCCAGGGTCGTGGGAGTGAGTGTGGAGCCTGCTTGAGATTCTCTCTCTGTCTCTGTCTGTCTCTATCTCTGTCTCTCCCCCTATCCCCTGCTCTCTTTCTCTCTGTCTCAAACAAAAATAAAATAAAATAAAAAAATTAAGAGTGATGTATTGATAGTGCAATTTTCTGGTAAACTGAAATCTTCCCTCTCTCTTTCAATCTTTTCTTTCTCTGCCCCCGCTCTTTCTTTCTCTCCTTCTCTCTTCTCTCAAACACACACCAACACACACACACAGACACACACAACTGTATTACTAGTATAGTAAGGCTGCTTTGCCTGCCATTTGCCCTGGGTATGGACCTGACCACTGAAGGAAGACTCTGTCCTGACCCTAGTGATACTTGTTATTTGATTTCTTAAATTAATTTTTTATTTGTAATCTCAGGTTTTGTTGACCTTAGAGAACTCTCTGAAAGAGCAATCTGAGAACCGATTTCAGTGTGTAGACAGGCCTATGGAGAATACGAAATAATAGTGTAGTCTGATAGGTCAAATTTTGGATTCATATTTCAAAGGTCAGAAGTGCAAATTCCATTAAGGTTGTACTTATGATAAAATTTCCTTTAAATCATTTTTTTTTATCTTTAGTTTGGAAATCTAGAAGATGATCTATGATCCAGAATATTTCCTATGTTGGGAAAAAAAGCTGAGTTGTAAAAATAAATATAATGATTAGGGCTAAAAATAAGATCTTATTACACGGAAATTTCGTTGAGTTCAGTACAAAACAAGGGTTCAGAGGTGAATGGACAGATTTGCAATTGAAAATGCTCCTTTGGAAAAAATTAGAACCCTAATGTCACCAACAGAATTTCTGCTACACTCTTGATGTGACAGACTGGCCCGGTTTCACACAAGCTCTGGGATGTGGGTATGAGTTGGCTCAGGAAGCCTTGGGTGTGGGATGGTAGCTAAGTTAGTTTCTAACAATTCAGTCCATAGCATTGTGCGGTTGCCCCCGCCCCCCCCACCGCCAAATCCTTGTCCTTCTCACATACAAAATACATTCATTCCCTCCCAACAGCCCCCAGTGTTGAAACTTAATCCAGCATCAACTTGAAAGTCTAAAGTCCACTGTCTCGTGTAAATATCATCTAAGACAGATATGGCTGAGACGTGTGGTATGATTCATCCTGAGGCAGAGTTCCTCTCCAGCTGTGAGCCTGTGAAATCAGACAAGTTGTGTGCTTCCAAAATACAACGGTGGGACAAGCAGAAAATATATATTGCTGTTCCAAAGGGAGACGTTGGAAAGAAGAAAGGGGTGACAGGTCCCAAGCAAGTCCAAGATCCAGCAAGGCAAATTCCAATGGATCTTATGGCTTGAGAATAATCCGCGTTGGCTCGATGTCTCATTTTCTGGGCCTACTGTGGAGGCAACTTCACTCCCACATCTCAGTCCTCCCTGCCCTTCAACTTTGTGAGGTACCACCCTTGGGGGACTGGATTGGGAGAACTCTGGCCTCAGAAACAGAAGAGGCCCCCTACTTTTGGAAACCCAGGAGGAACCAGCCCTAGTCCCTGGGACCGTGGTGGGAGAAGCAATGTTACAACGTCTGAATCCCTTTCAGGGTTCCTTCTTCCCTTCCTTAAGGAATAGTGCACATTCACAGCTGAATAGTTTTATGGGCCGGTCTTGTCAAATCCAGCAAGTCTGGTGGCCTTCCTTCCTTCTGTCCTGCTGTCTCCCTTTGTTCAAAATGGCAGTGTCTTTGCTGGTGTAATCCTATTTTCTTTTTATTGAGCCAGGCTGTTGGTGTTATGTTCTGAACATGCATTCTTTCTTTCTTTTTTTTTCTTTTTGCTATATAGACAGGCTGAGAATTTTCCAAACCTTTAAGTTCTTTTCTGCTTAACACTTCCTTCTTCACTTCCTCTTCATTTCTCTCTTCTCACATTTTGCTTTAAGCAGTCAAGAGGCTCCAAGTTGCTCCTTCAACACTCTGCTTAGAAATCTCCAAAGCTAAATATCCAGTTTCACTGCTTGCAAGTTCTACCCTCTGCAAACCAGTAGAATACACTTTATAACAAAGACTGTCTTTCCTCCAGTTTCCAATAACACGTCCCACATTTCCAGCTGAGACCTCACCAAAATTGCCCTTAATTGTCCATATCTCTGGCAAGCCGTTACCCAGTGCCGAAGCTGCCCCCATGTGCCTTGGCGTTTCTTACAACAGCACGCCGTTTCCTGGCACCACATCTATTTCAACCTCATCTAAACCTAATTACCTTTCGGGGCGCCTGGGTGGCGCAGTCGGTTAAGCGTCCGACTTCAGCCAGGTCACGATCTCACGGTCCGTGAGTTCGAGCCCCGCGTCGGGCTCTGGGCTGATGGCTCAGAGCCTGGAGCCTGTTTCCGATTCTGTGTCTCCCTCTCTCTCTGCCCCTCGCCCGTTCATGCTCTGTCTCTCTCTGTCCCAAAAATAAATAAACGTTGAAAAAAAAAATTAAAAAAAAAAAAAAAACCTAATTACCTTTCAAAGAATCATCTCCAAATATGTCAAATTAGGGGAGTAGGACTTCAACACATGAACTGGAGGTGGGGGTGGGGGTGGGGGGATCTGATTCAGTCCCGAGCAATAGAGAAAAGGAAGGGAAAGAAATACGTTTTCCTTTGGCTGCGACTTCCCTGCCTCAGCTCTAGTTGACTCACCTTATCTGTGGATGAGGAAGAGCTTGGGAGATTCCTGTGTTCACCTGTCTCCACTCCTAGTTCCACAAACACATGCTTTGTTAATTCTATCATGCTGTGGTCTTGAACAAATTCTCGAATAGTCCTGAAGCACGGTTTTCAGGTTTTCTTGCGGCTGAGTGAATAATGTCAAAGGCCGTGCAGATGATAAAATGTGGATAGAGCTACACCATAAAGGTTTCTGGCAAACCAATAGTGCATGCCCCAAGTAAGCCTATGCAAGTGGTGTCAGTTCATTTTAAATGTCAGAGGCCAAATCGAACATGCTAGACAAGAATTGGCCACACCTGGACTAGATGTTCTCTAAATTATCTTCAAGACTGAACTGTGTGAATTAGCTGTAGATACCAACTGTATTTCCTCCTACTCTTCCCATTCTCTGAGACTCAGTGAGGATCAGGAAGCCTGCCCCATCCTTCATCACTTAAAAATATTTATTTAAGATTCTCTGCAGTTGTGGTCAATGAGATTGGATCCTTTTTTCCCCATAGAATCTTCCTTGAGATAGTAAGACCATGATGAGGCAGGTCAGATTTAGGAAGATGGTAAGTCAAAAGCGCCCACCATGGGGTGCTGGGTGGCTCAGTCGGTTAAGCGTCCGACTCTTGATTTTGGCCTAGGCCGTGATCACACAGTTCGTGAGTTCGAGTCCCACATTCGTGCTGCACTGACAGCAAGGAGCCTGCTTGGGATTCTCTCTCTCTGCCCCTCGCCCCCACACTCTCTGTCTCAAAAATAAATGAACATTTTTAAAAAAACACCCACTGAGATATTCAACTCTAATGAAGTCTTGACATTTAAAAAATCTGTTATTACAGTTAACTAGCTGGCTCGATGTCTTCTGGAATACTATCTTTTCTCATCCTCGTTTCTCAAGAAATGGTAATCACTTTTGCTATTGTCATTTTTTTCCTTTGTAGGAGAATCTTCATGTGGGGTAGAGAGGGAAATCATCTGAAGGTCATGCAGTATTCCAAACTGTCAGATATTATTGAAGATCAAAGGGCAAGATTATTGATGTCCAAATTGATTGGCTTTCTTGGCATCATGATTCCAGAGCCACTAAACTGATAAAATCAAAAGGGTATTTAATATTGCATATGAACATTTTATACAGAATCAGATGATGGCATGAAATGTAGGCTCATCGTCTCTTTAAAAGGTTGTAAGATTATTTCATAAGATTTCAAATCATCTTTAGGGATTTTATCTGTAGCTAAGTCTGTTGTTTGGGTATTTATGCCACATACAAACCTAAAACCTGGAGTAATTTGGTTTCAAATGAGTGGTGTGGCGGTGGAGGGTGTGTGAAGGTGACTGGATCCAACAAGAAATTCTCCTGTTGGCATCTCGACTGTGACCTCCTGGGGGCAGGAGTGTGCTTCTCACTCCTTTGGTTCCTTTGGATTTGGTGATAATTTAGGGATGGCCCTACTGTTTTTTGTTTTCATTTTTGTTTTTTGTTGTTGGTGGTGGTGTTTTTTTTCTGGGTTATAGCAGAACCCAACAGGAAGGATACACTTAAGCAAAGGGGATCCAGATCTTAGGCTCTGAATCATATTCCTTCACCAGGGACTTGCTGGACCTCAGCTCCATGTGTCCCTGGGGAGTTCTTATGAGGACTGGGTGACCATTATTGTTACATTTGCTACTTCCTCTCTTCACTGCTCCCCTCTGGCACACCAGCCCCTCATTCTGTGGCTTGCCAGCTATCACAAGGCCCTTAGCCTCTGGCTGTGGCTGTGAATCCCCTGTGGCTTTGTGAAGTCCCTGACTACCAGGGGTTTACTACTTTTGATTCTGATGATTACCTCCTGAAGGGAGAAAAGGCTCATTTTCCCTTTAGTGTTTATCATTTCTTAGGCCACAGTACAGACAGGCATTGCTTACTGAGTTCTATTCACTGGCCTTAACGGAGTATTATTTCATTTTATCTGAACTTTGGCACAATTTCCCTTCACTGAATTTGGGAGAAAAATAAAGGGGTTTTGTACAGTACCATACACAAATCATTCCCCCCAACCAGGGTCCGTACACTGGTCTTTGATGGAGTGAAGAACCCCTCGATCTTTCCTCCCTCAAGTTAATTTATGGTGCTATCCAGCACCCCATCCCCCTTTCCCTCTTCCCTTGCCTTCCTTGCTTCCTTCCTCCCTTCTCTCCTTCCTTCTTGATTGCTAATGGATGTGTGGAGGCCAGACCTTGAGGAAAAGATTGAGAACTGGCTCCTGGTTCTGGGGAAAGATGAGGTGAGCAAAGACCAGGAAGCTGCGAGAAGCGTTTGCAGACATTTACTTCTCCAGGCTGCCTCTGGAGAGCGAGCGGCTCACTAATCTCCCCAAGGTGGGGCCACTAAGCATTTGGCTGCATCCCTTGCTGCCCCAGAGACAGGGGCTTGGACTTAGTGTTCAGACTGCCAGACACGGTACTTTAGGAGCATCGACTTGAGGGGAGAGGCATCAGTAAGAGAGGGGGCTGGGGTAAGAACTGTTTTGACGATGACTATTTTTTTCAACTGCAAATAACCCAGAATGGGATCTGTAATGTAAGATGAAGAACTAAGGACAAAATGCAAGCCCCGTTTAATTTACCTGTTTGTCTTTGTGGGTTTACGTTAACCCTTATTATTGAGTCCCCGTAGTACTATTTTCTAATTAAAACATATATGTCTAAAGAGTTTTCAGAATAACAAAGCATTTATAATACTCTAATGAAGGGCATTCTTTTCATCTTTATTTACTTAGCAGCATAATCAAGACCAACTTAGAAAGGTTAGCTGTGGTCAGAAGAAATTTATGAAGAGTGGCTATTAAGAGAGAGAGCACATGTATGCAGACTGTGTTTAATAATGGTAAGTAGGACGTGTTTATTAAAATGATGCAGGGATTTTATCCCTTCATTCTTGATGTCTCTTAGTACCTGACATTATACTGCTACGGTTTCCATGGAAACAGCACACACTCTTCCTTTCAGCTGTCCTGAAGTTCAAGCCCTGCTGTTGCAATAGAAATTCTCAGGAACACCTCCACTTTTATTAAAAACAAAAATACCAAGTCTATGCAAAAAGTAAAAGCAAAAAAAAAAAAAAAAAAAGAGGGCAAAAAAAAAATCCATCGACTATATTGCAGAGAAGAAACGAGGATGTGCAATATTTTCATTAAGAGGGAATCAAGAAACAATTTACTATGCTGGAGGTTGAGAGCATCTGTCATTTCCTTCCCCTAAATTACCTTAGAATTGATCCTCTGGAGCCTGCCTTAACATCTGCACCTTTCATTTCTAATTCAATATATTCTATTTTTAGTTTTCTGGAAATATCTCTCTTACTGATTTAAGAAGTCGTTTCTCTGTGACTCCCCCCCAAAATGTTGATTTCTGTCTATAAGTTGTGACTTTAATAAAGAGAGTTTACATTTAGGATACGATTGTTGGAATAAGACATTTCACATATGTTCGCCATGAGGTGGGTCTCCTGTCCATAGTAGCCTTTTGTTTGGTATATTAGCTAAGATGCTTTGGGTTGCAAGTAACAAAGCACTTAACGTCAGTTGTTCTGTATAGGAAAGTGGATTTGTTGGCTTGCATTACCAAAGCCTCCAGAGGCATGATTTGATCTGGGCTCTGGGTCTGGTCCTCCGAGTGCCAATACAGTCCTCAGGCTGGCTGCTTCACTGTGACAAAATGCCTGACGCAGTTACCCAGATTACACCAGCCTGCCATACAAGAGCCAGAAAATGAGGACATCCTTTTTAGGATCCCCTATGAAATAGCTTCTTTAGATCTGTAATTCTGATGGTGTCAAAGGCACGCCCTTGAGTCAATAACTGGGCAGGACAGAGGGTTATGTTGACTGTCCTTGGGCAAGAGACACGTGTTCCATTCCTGGGTCATAAGGGCTGCATGGCAGAGGTATGGATATGAATGTAAAACTTGTGGAGATTACTGAGAGAAGAATGGATAGAGGCTGGAGAAACAGACGCTTTCCACATTTTGGAAGAGAGATGTTGCTTAGATGCAATCTCACCTTCTTTCCTATCCCTGATTTAACCTTCCCTGTTTATTCTGATTTAATATTGCAGCCTGCTCTCCCAATCACATTATCTTGTATCACTCTACGTTCTGTTTTCTTGCACAGTACTTAAGACTTTTACCATACTATAAAATTAATGTTTATGGTGCTTACCGTTACCATGTTTGTTGGTTATTCTGTTCAATGGTGCATTCAAAGCACTTAGTGAATGTCTGGCTTTATAGATATTTGTTGAATAAATGAATGAACTGGATAAATGAATAATTGAATCTGGCAGATACTTTCTGGCCATTTATTAAGCCAATCTGATTGTTCAGATTTTTGACAATTAGAGATAGTGTCCAAAACCCTATTTCTGCATGTTGTTGGTTGTTGTGCTTCTGTAAGCAGGTGGCAGAAACACCAGCCTGTCTTGGACATTCTGAGAGAGATTTGTTTCAAAAACCCCTTGACTTGGTTGGGAATCAGAATGGTGGGATATATGAAAGGCTTGGTTCTATTGTAAGGACTGTATCTCTCTGCTTTATGCAGCCAAGTTCATTCTGGGCTTGAAGGAATTAACTGTGCCTTAGAGGAGTTGTCACCTGGCCGCTTAAGGTGCCGGTGGAGAGGATCTGGTAGCACTTGCCTACAAGCCTCTTTGGACAATTTGAAGTTTTTCTGAGAGAGAGAGAGAGAGAGAGAGAGAGAGAAAGAGAGAGAAAGCATGAGCCTGTGAGAGCAGGGGAGGAACAGAGAGAGAGGGAGAGGCAGAATCTCAAGCAGGCTCCACGCCCAGCACAGAGCCCAATGCAGGGCTTGATCCCATGACCCTGGGATCGTGACATGGGCCAAAACCAAGACTGAGCCACCCAGGTGCCCCTGGACAATTTGAAATTTAATGTCAACCTGAAAGCAAGATGTTGTCCTCATTTGAGGGTAAAACCCATCTCTTTCTCTACAGTGGCTATTCAGCCCACGTTCATGTGACTCACGAGTGACCTAAGCAGTTTCTTCACAAAGCACACATGGAAAGCACAGACACAGAGGCAAGTTGGGGGAGAGCCCTGGCAGGTAAATTTTCTGCGCTCAGTGACCTGGGAACAGGAATGAAAAATCCTACTGCCCTTTTGGGAGAAAGGCTAAAATTCACAGGCGGCAATCTTTGCTCAGGACATTTTGATTGCTGAGGGCACGTTCTAACTTTCAGTTCAGCTCTGTCTGTTGGCCTGTCAAGCATACCTCAGGTGTCATACAATGGGTTCCACTTCAGTACAGTGACCCCATTCTCTACCACTGGGGTGTGAGAGTACAGGATTTAGGATACCACTCACTGGAGACTATGTCCCCAGCTCCAGACATAACTTCATCTAATTATTCCAAACAAATGCCTGTTCTGTGGGCTCTCTTGCCTTACACATCAAGTCCCAGTGACTTCCAGAGATGGTAACCACACGAATCAATATTGCCATTGTGTTAGATGTAGCACTCCCTGCCAGAAATCCGTCTCACTGTGATGATTACGTAAAAGGTTCTTAGATGGTTTTCTCACCACAATCCTTGACTCTAGGGTTAGATAAAGTTACCTGAAAAGGTCACCTTATTCAGGTGACTATATGCAAGAATCATCTGAGGCCAGTGTAGTATGAAACATGTTTAATGCCCTATACAGCATGGGCACCAGGCAATCCAAATGGAGGCTGGCCAATGAGCCGAATGTATCAGCCCTGCCAAAGAACTACCTACGTGAGCGGTGATCTCAGCCTCCAGTTCCCCTCACGATCTTTAGATTAAATGATCATTTTTCAGAGTTTTTGTGTGTCATCTCATCTATTTCAACAGGTTACCTCCCTTTTTTCTAAGGGAGGTAAGTGACATGCTTAAGGTCAGAGGTAATCCAAATAAATTCTGGAACCCCATGTGCTCCGATCTGGATATGTTGTCTCAGGCATAGAAACACAACCTAGAAAACCAAAAGTAACCGTACATCTTTCAAACCTTTTATCAGTTCTTCCAGGAAATGACAAAGAGGAACGCGTGTTCTTAATAAACAGCTAAAGTTATCATCTTTTCTCTCCACTGCTTCCTTCCTTAGCACATTTCACATAGACTGCAGCTGCTCCTTTACCAGCCTCTCTATTATCCTCCTGTCACTCTCTCTGAAGGTCTTCCACATGTGTGGGCTCAACGATGCCCCTTCCACTGCTTAAGGGAGCGCAGTGAGGTCTTACCCAGCAGCCATCTTGGCCATGCTGCGGGAGGAGCCGGGGAACCGGAAGCCATATTCCCCGTGTCCCCAGCAACCTAGACCTTCATATTTGTTAGGGAGAGAAGCACCCAGAGCCCACCGGGAAATGCAGTTCCTGCGGTCTGACAGATCTTGTGACAAATCATTTTTGGAAATTTCTGTAGAACAAAATTCTGAACCTCTTTGCATGTATACCTGCAAAAGCTAGAGTCCAGACCAAACCCTAAGGTTTCTGGGGTCTGTGCAAATGGAGAGACAATATGTCTCATTTACTGCCGGCACATAGTTAGGACACAGTAAATATGTATTAAACCCAGGGTAAATTGAGAAATAATTTAGGAAGAAAATGACATTAGGAGAGACCAGGTATTGGATAGTTTTTGACTGTCTGCCTGCTAGCCTGCCTGCCTTTTTTTTTTTTCCCCTACCAGAATGATTTGAATTGACCATCTACATTGAAAAACTTCATTGATTGATGGTTTCATTCTTCCATTCGCTTTGTGCAGACCCTTTGTAATTTACTTTTATGTTCGGTCTCTGTTTTCTCTTCCTGTCACTTTGCCCCTCTCTTTTTCACTGCTTGCCTGAGAGTAATTTTCCATCATATTGTTATAGCCAGAGGTCTCTGACAGGGTGGCAGTAAAATGACACAGCTAAGTGATACAGATTTTAATGACTTAATGCCATAATAATTTCTAACAGAAACATAAGTAGAGACAGGGGTGATGTTTTAAAAGACATAAAAATGGGAAGTGGACCACGGACAAGTTGTACCTGAGACAGAACTGTGGCAGAAATGGGAGCGAGACAGCTGTGCACAAAGTTGGTAGAGGCAGGCCCGTAAAACAGATGCTGTTAGTAAAGGGGGAAAAGTCACAGAAGAGAAAAATATAGCATTTTGAAAGTCTTCGAGAAAGAAAAAAAAGATGACAAAAAGAAAATGTGGACTGGCTTCTTAACAGAGAAAAAGAGAAAATAGGAAATTACAGAAAAAGGACAGAAGGCTTGGCCTGTCTTATGAGCCAGCCAGGCTTGGTGACAAAGGTAACATCCAGAAGAATACTTACGGTAATAATAGTCAATGAGGAAAGAGCACGGAGAAGCAATGCGCCTCAGAATGCCCAGCGTAGGAAAATCGCTGCAGACCACAAAAGGAGAGAACAGAGGAGTGCAGGCCAGCTGGCAATTATTTCTGAGACCTCGCGGAGGATTATTAGGTTCCTAGGAATTTGAAAAGGGAAAGGTGCCAAATTGTTATTTTGACAGTGTGATGAAAATGTGTTAAAGTAGGTCACAGAGAATCTGTGGAATTGGTGGGCTTCCTTGGCACCAAGGTAGACTCTTGGTAAAATGAAAAAAGTGGCTAAAAGATAAATGCATAGCTAACTTGCCCACGGGCTCACGTGTGGGTCTCTAAGGGCCGTGGGTCAGACGTCCGCCTCTTTCCATCCCCGCCCCCATTGCGTGAAAGCTCACTGTTTGCTCCTCTGAAGCTGGCTACACATCCACCTGTGGTAGACCTACGCGCCTCTCACCGGGGCTTCTGGTTCTCTTCCCTTCTGCGCATGCACGGAAGGACCATACCTCCTCACCCCAGGGCAGATGGGCATGAACTTGTCTGGATGGACGCATTCAAGGGTAAGTTGTGTTTCTCCATATTCTTTCTTCCCCTGTGTTTCAAAATACAGTGTATTAACAGAACATTTGAGGTATACTGAAGCCAACAGATAGGGAAGTGATCACCACTGTAAAGACAATTTACTTACTCCTGGTTCTCCTGAGAAGGAGGCGCATGGTGCCTCGCAGGGTCACACAGGGGGCCCCGGGGTGTGCCACAAAGCAGAGGGAGATGAAGGAACTATGGACCAGGGCTTTTATTGTGGTTCCTGCAAGAAGGAATGAGCGAGGTAGGGTAGGCAGGCCTAGAATTGGCCAGTTTGAATTATTTCAGCAGATTCCAGGGCATAGAAGCTGTCCCTAGTTTTCTGCTCCCTGGACCTGGAGTGATTAGGGCAAGGGGATAGTGGTCCTGGGTGTGAGCGCCTGATAGAAGAGGTGGTTGTGGTGGTGTTTGGTTGGTTTTTATTTATTTTTTTTTATTTGAGAGAGAGAGAGAGAGATTGGGGGAGGGGCAAAGGATGAGAGAGAAGCCTCTCCCGGTGGAGAGGCCAATGCAGGGCTTGATCTCACCACCCTGGGATCATGACCTGAGCCGAAATCAAGAGTCAGATGGCTTAACCGACTGAGCTACCCAGGTGCCCTGTTTGGTTGATTTTTAATTGAGAGTGCACCCTAGGGAGAAGGACTCTTCCAGAGGGGTAGGAGGGTGATAAGAGAGGCAGGCGGCCAAAGCCAGGTGACTCAGGCATATTGCTGGGTTGCCCAGAACAAGGCATGTCCAGCATATGCATGTAGAGCAGGTGTTAAAACATCAAGCCGACAGAAGCTAGAAGCATGGTTACTATGTCCTGCCTCAGTGACCATGGTTGCATGTTCCTAAATAATCAAAGCAGCTTGGAGCACTGCCGCTAGGAGCTTATACCCGTTGCATGATTTTGCGTGAGAAATAAACTTTTGTAGTTATGAAGCCACTGAGATTTGAGAGTTATTTATACCACAGCATAACCTAAATTATCCGGACGAATCACTGCCACGCCACTTGCAGTGGGAATGAAGTGAGGTAATCCAAGTAAAATACTTCCTGACACATGATATAGTCTCAACAGTGTTAGCTATTATTATCATCCTTTGCTAATATTCTTCTGCTACTTAGTCTGCTCTCTTACTTTTTCCCTGGCACCGGATAAATTAGTATTTATCTCAAATAAGATCAGTTGGCTTGTTGTAATATGTAGCTATAAGCTATACATTCCTGTTCATATTTATCCTCAGAACAAAGGGTAAGGTAGTTATTCATAGAATAACGGATAATAATAACTGCAATAATGTTATTGTTGTTATTTTTACATTTTAAAGATGAGGAAACTGAAGATCAGAGAAGGCATATAACTGGTCCAAGGCCACATAGCTCGTAAGTGGCTGAGATAGGATTTGCTCCTGTCTGTCAGATTCTAATACCTAGCCCTGACCACAGTATTATGCCACCTCACATGTCCAGGATACCTTCCAGATTGGAGAGATTCGATGTAGTGAGATATTTAGCTGAAAACTCTGCAAAAGTATAGAATCTTCTTGGCACAGAAGCAGCCTTCCAGAGGCACCAGGATGGCTTAGTCAGTTAAACTTCCAACTCTTAGTTTCGGCTCAAGTCATGATCTCAGATTTTGTGAGTTCAGGCCCTGAGTCAGGCTCTGCACTGACAGTGTGGAGCTTGCTTGGGATTCTTTCTCTCCCTCACTCTCTGCCCCTCCCCAGCTCATGCTGTCTCTGTCTTTCACAGAATAAATAAATAAACTTAAAAAAAAGTTAAGGAACAACTTTCCATCAGCTTCACTGCCCAATTTGCATTTAAAGGTCCTCCCTAAGCAGCCTACTCTCTAGTCCTTAACGTTGGGAGAAATCGAACGTTGATCCTGAGGCTGGGACCAGATTGTAAAGTTATCCTGCCCCCCACACTGCCTTGTTTCAATATGGCTGCTTCAGCCTCTTTTACATTCTGCATTCTCTCTCCCACCCGCCTTCGGTCCTTCCCCTGCGTACTGCTGATTGACTACTTCCTTCTGCCATTCCCACCTCTGCGACAGAGGAGGGAAGGTCAGCAACCACTTGCTCAATCTCCCTGACAGCTAGGTGGCCACAGGAAACGGCACTGGCCCATGGGACACGAATGGGGTCTTCTAGGAAAGTTATTTCACTTCCTGATGAAAGAGACGAGCGTAAGAGGAGACGTTTCTGATACCGCCGTTTTTCCCTTGCCCCTGCACTGAAAACAGATGTGATACTTGAAGCCACAGAAGTCATCTTACTACCATGAGGCAAGAAGCATAAGGATAAAAAGCCAAGGCTTGTCAGTGACACACTGAACCAGTCACAAGAGCCTGAGTTCTGATGTTATCAATGAGCAGCTACATTAAAAACAGCAACCACCAGCCCCCTGGCCTCTAGTTATGTAAGAAGAACAAACCTCTTTTTGTTAAAGCTACTGTTGGTCAGGTTTTTCTGTTATTGGCAGCTAAATGTGTTCCTAAATTATATACCATGCCATCATCAATCTTCACACACATCATAAAATACCATACTTGGAATTTATCCTAATTTGTGTATCTAGTTCTCAATTTTGGAGAATTTAGATTACACCATTGTAACTACTTTAAATAATCCCATGTTGAACATCTTTGTATATAAAGCCTTTTCCATATTTATGATTACTTTCTTTACTCAGGATAGAACTTCCTGGAGTAACTTCAGACTCTTGACACATATTAACAAAAAGCTTTACAAAAAAGTGCACCAAATCTCAACATTTTGCCTCTTGTAAGATACTATATTATATGGATTCTATGTTTGTTACACAAATTTAAAAAGTGGACAATCTAAGCAAATCAGAATGAAACTCTACATTCTAAATTGTGTGCATTTTCCTCCTAGGGGAAAAAAAAAACTGCCTTCATGTGTGTTTCAACTTGTTTAAAAAGTATAAAACAATCTTTCTATAAAATAAAGCATTAATATTATGTAATGGTTGTCTATGAATGGGTTTTTCTTATATTTACCAAGGTGGATGCCCTGGTGAGGCGTTGCAGATGCATTAATTTGGGTAAAAGACTAGACTGAAATCTCACAGGTTTTGTATGGGCTCAAAGGTTGGCATGCTATTTGAAGCATGCAGGTAGGGAGCAGGCGAAATGGGTAGGGTTGGGAGACATTGGCCTGGTGCATGTACCTTCCAGACTTCCTCTCATGTATTATCTCACTGTAGTGTTTAAATGATCTCATTACTGATTCCATTTTACACATAAAGAAATGGTAGCCTGGCAATTTAAATCCCTGGCCAAGCTCACAGAAATGGTAGCATTGCTGGGATTGAGCATAGGTCTGTCTGATTCTCATGTTTCTGTACTTCCTATGCCTCCTCATCTATAAAAATGGGGGAAAACAGTGGATGGAGAGGCTAACATGACTTTCCTCACACAGAGATGGTCTAGAACCCAGTATGCCATGCACTTTACATTCTAAGCTTTGACCTCTCAAGGGAAGTGGTGAAAACATAGGGAATGAGATTTAGCAAAGGCACAGCCATTACTGGTGTTGTGATTTTCCAAGTGACATTGATGCTGTTGGATTGTAGTGGTTAAGCCACATGTCTCTTACACAGTTTGGGGGATAAAGTTAACCTGATGAAATACCATTTATGATGATTAAGGATTTTCTCAAGGAAGAGATATCTGAGGGAGACAGTACTGTGAGGCTGAGTGGTTAAAATTGCTGTCTCAAGTTTAACAGATCTGGATTCAAGTCCTAGCTTCATCCTGTGTTAGCCATAGGACCCTGGACAAGTTATTTAAATCTCTCTGTGTCTCAATTTTTACAGCTTAAAAATTGGCATAAATAATGGCATAACATAGAAAGTTTTTGTGAGGATTAAATGAGACAAGAAAGTGAAACAGTGGTCTGTACATACTAAGTGCTCACTAAATCAGACAAGTCCTGGATTGTAATGATTCTATAACTGGATCCATTCCCCTCTTTATTTTCTTATCAAGCTTTATCTCTATGCTGAAAGTGTATTTAACTTCCCTGGTCACCGTCTGGCTGAATGCCTTGGATCTAGTTTCTGTTTGGCAGACTGAATGAAACTTAAGCTGCTCTGATTCCAAATGTTCTATTTGGAGAAGGGTGTTTCACACAGAAGTTTTAAAGTAGATCAGTATGGTTGACTTATAGCTTGCCAGCCTCCCTTGCAGTAGGTTGGGGTCATTTCTACCTTAAAGATACAACGCAAGGGGCACCCGGGTGGCTCAGTTGGTTAAGGAACTTCGGCTCGGGTCATGATTTTGTGGTTCATGAGTTCAAGCCCCGCGTCAGGCTCAGTGCCTGGAGCCTCTTCAGATTTCTGCGTGTGTGTCTCTCTCTCTGCCCCTGCCCTGCTTGCACTCTCTCTCTCTCTCTCTCTCTCTCTCTCGGTCTCTTAAAAATAAACATTTAAAACAAAAGGATACAATGCAAGATTTCAGCAGAGACTTGTGGCTCATTACTCTTTCTTCAGACTCAATTCAAATATCTTTGGTGGTTTCTAATTGCCTAAAACCACTTAAGGTTCTTCTTTGTACATCCAGTCACCAAATATTTATGTGGTTACTTCTGGCAAATGAACTGTGTGTAGAAATGACATGTGTGCTTCTGGGTCAGAACAGCTAGAAGCTAGCTAGGTGCCTCTTCCCTTGTTGAGATGAAGCCACATGTTCCAGATGGTGTAGCTGCAAGATGCACAAGACCTGTCCGGGCCACAATGGGCTTTATGTGAGCAAAATATAAATATTCATTGAGTTAAGTCATCAAGACTTTGGGATTTATTTGTTACTAAATGAAGATTAGGTAAGTGGTTCTCAAAGCGTGGTTCAGGAACCCCTAGGTATCTCTAAGTCCCTTTCAGAGGGTTTGGCAAGTGAAAACAATTTTCATAATAATGTTGAGGTATCATTTGCCTTTTTCACACTCACACTTTCCTGACCGTCAAGCAGAGCTTTCCACATGCTATATAATGTGTGATGATGTCATTGCTCTGATGTCTAATGGAATGTGTCTTTGTGTATTCCTGTGTTAAAAAATGTTTCTCTTTTCATCTCTAATGTGCCAAATATTGATAGTTGTAACCCTCATAAACAAAAGCTCTTTGGGAGTCCTTAACAATCTTTAAGAATGTAAAGGGGTCTTGAGACCAAAGAGTCTGAGAACCACTGGATTAGTCTACCTTGCATAATACAGAAATCATATGGGCAGTTTGAAGTGGGATGTGGTGATCCCAACCTATTTTGTTCTTAAAATTTTTTTTAATGTTTATTATTTATTTTTGAAGGAGAGAGAAAGACAGAGCATGAGCAGGGAAGGAGCAGACAGAGAGGGAGACATAGAATTCGAAGCAGGCTCCAGGTTCTAAGCTGTCAGCACAGAGCCCGATGCAGGGCTCAAACTCAAAAACTGTGAGATCATGACCTGAGCCGAAGTCGGACACTTAACAGACTGAACCACCCAGGTGCCCCATCTTTTGTTCTTATATTTAATTTTCAAAGCTTTCTTTATGAAGGAAATACACAATCAAAAAAAGCTAATGTACTTTTAACTCAATCAAATACTTGATAAAATAGTTGTTTCTTTTCCAGGGGACTGAAAGAGATTGGGAGTTGATTGGATAGTCAGAGATGGGTGCAGAATTTAAACTCCTGGATCATAGAAAACTTAATGACATAGCAGAAAGAATCGTATAGCGGGCACATTTTGTTGCTGAACATGTTAGTCAAATGTTGGTTGATAATTTCTGCCTACAACGTTAGCAAGAATTTTGGTGAATGGACTATGAAAAGATGGGCAGGTAAGTTTAAAAGACTGGCTGTACTGTAATTAATTGTTAAATCAAAGGAACTAGGAATTTATAAAAACCTACTATCTGCTAGATCTTTTATATACATTAATAATAATGATTAATCCTTATAACCCATGAGAAAAGATTTTGATTATAACCTCCACTTTATAGATGAAATCAACACTGTTAGAATCAGAAATTTAACTTTGGTATATTTTTTACTCCAATCCTTACTTTTTCCATAATTCCAAGCTGGCTTGATAACATTATCGAGTCGGAGATAAACAGAGATGCATTTATGATGGGATAGGGGAAGAAGTCATGGCTTTTTTCTGATATTTTGTTTTTGGATAGTTGCCCCTGAAATGCAATTTCTACCCCAAAGATGCAATGCAAGATTTTGGCAAAGACTTGTTTCTCATTTCTCTCTCTTCGGACTCAGTTCAGACATCTACAGTGGTTTCTCATTGCCTGAAACCACTTAAGGTTCTTCTTTGTACATTCAGTCACCCAATGTTTATTGAGTTCCTATTATGTAGAGACACTATCCGGGATGCTGGAGATACAGCAGTGAACAAAACCCACACACCCCTCTGCCCCCTGGGAGCTTCCATCAAAGAGGGAGGTGGAGAATAAACAAGGTAAATACATAAAATACCTATGATTGACAGTGATAAGTGCAAAAAAGAAAAATAAATAAAAAAGGGTGCCATTCTTGACAAGGTGGCTGGAGTAGGTGACCTGTGGCAAGGTGGCCTGTAAGCAAAAGGCGTGAGGACGTGAGGGCTCTGTGGATGTCCAGAGGAAGAGTTTCCAAGGCAGACTGAATGATCAGACAAAGGCCGTGAGGTGGGAATTGTAAGAGCAGCAAAGAGGCTATGTCAGCTGAGGTTGAGGGAATGAAAACTTGCACAGACTTTGGAAGAGTTTGGGGCTCTCCTGTGAGCAAGAGAAGGGCATTTTCAGTCTTGTGAGTTGAAGAAAGACATGGTCTGCCTTGCATTTAAATGGAATCACTGTGGTGCCTGCACTTAGAATCCTGTGGGTACAGGAGGGGAAGGTCTAGGTCTGTTAGGAGGATGTTGAAATCCAGGTGAGTGAGGATGTGGCTCAGTCTAGAGTGTGGCAGAGAAGGGGAGGAGGAGTGGTCAAACTCTGGTTGCATTTTGAAAGTAGAGTCAACAGGATTTTCTAATAATTGTTTGTGGTTGTGAGCAAAGGAGGAGTTGAGGTGATGACCCCAAGATTTTTGGCCTGAGAATCTGGAAGGCAATCAACCAGAAGGGGAGAGTTGGAGGAAGAGTAGACCTGGAAAAGAACACCAGGCAGTTTTAGGACTCATAATATTCTGATGTTTGTTAGACTTTTTGGTAGAGATGGTCTACGGGCAACTGAATGTCCCAGTCTGGACACTTCAGGACATGCACTGAAGACAGAAACTAGGGAGTCATCAGAATAAGGTGCTCTCTGACCTCAGCCGTAGCAATCTCTTACTCGACACATCCCCAAAGGCAAGGGAATTAAAAGCAAAAGTGAATTACTGGGACCTTATGAAGATAAAAAGCTTCCGCACAGCAAAGGAAACAACCAACAAAACTAAAAGGCAACCAACGGAATGGGAAAAGATATTTGCAAATGACATATCGGACAAAGGGCTAGTATCCAAAATCTATAAAGAGCTCACCAAACTCCACACCCGAAAAACAAATAACCTAGTGAAGAAATGGGCAGAAAACATGAATAGACACTTCTCTAAAGAAGACATCCGGATGGCCAACAGGCACATGAAAAGATGCTCAACGTCGCTCCTTATCAGGGAAAGACAAATCAAAACCACACTCAGGTATCACCTCACGCCAGTCAGAGTGGCCAAAATGAACAAATCAGGAGACTATAGATGCTGGAGAGGATGTGGAGAAACGGGAACCCTCTTGCACTGTTGGTGGGAATGCAAATTGGTGCAGCGCTCTGGAAAACAGTGTGGAAGTTCCTCAGAAAATTAAAACTAGACCTACCCTATGACCCAGCAATAGCACTGCTAGGAATTTACCCAAGGGATACAGGAGTACTGATGCATAGGGGCACTTGTACCCCAATGTTTATAGCAGCACTCTCAACAATAGCCAAATTATGGAAAGAGCCTAAATGTCCATCAACTGATGAATGGATAAAGAAATTGTGGTTTATATACACAATGGAGTACTACGTGGCAGTGAGAAAGAATGAAATATGGCCCTTTGTAGCAACGTGGATGGAACTGGAGAGTGTGATGCTAAGTGAAATAAGCCATACAGAGAAAGACAGATACCATATGGTTTCACTCTTATGTGGATCCTGAGAAACTTAACAGAAACCCATGGGGGAGGAGAAGGAAAAAAAAAAAAAAAAAGGAGGTTAGAGTGGGAGAGAGCCAAAGCATAGGAGTCTCTTAAAAACTGAGAACTGAGGGTTGATGGGGGGTGGGAGGGAGGGGAGGGTGGGTGATGGGTATTGAGGAGGGCACCTTTTGGGATGAGCATTGGGTGTTGTATGGAAACAAATTTGACAATAAATTTCATATATTGAAAAAAAAAAAAGAATAAGGGTGGTGCTTAAAGCCATGAGAGTGGGTAAGCTCATAAAAGATATGAGTAGAAAATGGAAGGGGTCCAAGTACTGAGCCCTGGGCTCCATTATTTGAGGTGAGGGCAGGAGACAAAGAAAGAAAGCAAAGGAGTGTGAGGTGGAGCAGCCAGTAAGGAAAGAGCTCAGCCCACCTTTCTCAGAATCTCATCAGCCCACCTCTCCACAGACTCCCTGTGATCTGGCTACATGCTGTAAACTGCTCACAGTGGTTCCTGCCTCCACGCCTCATGAACATGGTTCCTGTGTGTAGCCCAATGCCAACCAGTTCTTTCCTGACATGACTTTGTCCTGGGACACCTGTAAGGACCATTTTAAATGCCTTTCCTATATCCCCAAATCTCTCCCTTTTATTTGTACGAATGACCACATTTTAAAAACAACTTATGCAGCAATTTCATATTCCTCTTATTACAGTCCTTTGTGTACGTGTATGTTACTTCTCCAAACCATGAGCTTTTTGTAGGTAGGGGCCATGCCTTCCCTGAGACTGAGGAAGACTGAGCAGGATTGCATTTCACTGGACAATTACTGGGGGGGCGGGGGGGTGCGGTATAGACAGAAGGAAAATGCAAAGAAGCGTTGGATGTTTTAGACTAAATAATACCCTCATTTGTTATTCTGTGCTGCTGTGGGAACAGACAGGCTACACTTCTGTAATAATAAGAAACAGAAGTAGTGGCTCATCTGCTTTTGGTATAGGATGGACCTTACTGCTGCGGTGCCTTTTGACTTAAAAATCCTCCTTGATAGCCTGTAATCAAAAGAGAATTTTGAAAATCCTCCCAAAATAGACATAACCCTGAAATATAATAATTTTAATAAAATGGGAGACACAATTCAGTTTTCCATAGATAAATACTTCTTTAAAATAGCTCTGGAATGATATCATAAACTGGTGACCTGTGATCCAAAATTCAGCTTGCAGACATGCATTTGTTTTGTGTGCAGTGTTCTGTGCCCTCCAGTTCATGACAGGCCCCTCTGCTTCATACTGTTGTGTCTAGGGCTGCTCCGCACATTGACCTTACCTGCTGTGTAGCACCACTGGGTGTCCCAACTCCACACAGTTATTAATCCCAGCTGCCCACTAACATGGAACGCAGCATTGAGTGAACGGGGCCTTGTAGTTGTGCAATTGCAATAGGCTGTTTGGCTCCTGAAGGCATTTAAGTGGGTGACCTTTAAGTTAGTAAATAACATATAACTATTTAAAAAAATTTTTTTAAATCAAGTCTTACCATTGCCTGGTAAATAATGTATCTTTGTTGTTAGCTGGGCTGGAGAAACCACTAGAAATGAACAAGAAGATTCCGACCAGATGTAAATAGACTCAAAACAAACAAATAAAAAAAGGACAAATATAAAACTTGAGAAAACAAGGGGCACCTGGGTGGCTCAGTCGGTTAAGCACCCGACTTTGGCTCAGGTCATCATCTCACCGTTCATGAGTTTGAGCCCCGCATCAGGCTCTGTGCCGACAGCTCAGAGGCCAGAGCCTGCTTTGGATTCTGTCTCCCTCTCTCTCTGCCCCTCCCCAACTAGTGCTCTGTCTCTCAGAAATAAACATTAAAAATAAAAAAATTTAAAAATTTTTGACAAAAGTCTTATTCAGGAATGAAGTTTTTAGTTTTGATCTTCATTACTGACTGGCTTGATTTTCTTATTTCTACTTTAGGCTCTTTCTTGCCCTGGAGACTCAATGATTTTATGTCTGGAGGTTGATAAGTCACAAGATATCTGGAATTAGGTGGTAAGTCTTTTTCTTCCTTTAGTGTGAGCTTATAAGACCTCAGCAGTTTGTATTTTAAAGCAATCAAAATTAAATGGAGTCTTGCATAATTGGCTCTCTCTTTCTAATGTTTCCATAAAAACAAAATACTATAGACCACCCCTGAAAATGTAGAGACCTGTTTCTTCCTGAAAGTAAACAGAATGAAAATTATGTTAGGAACACTCTCCTTACTTTGATACACACACACACACACACACACACACACACACACACACAAATAGATG